TTTTAGAAGCCTCTGACTTAATGCATAATAAAGTCAAGGAATTAACTTCAGCCAAGTACATTCGACGAATTCGTAAGATATTAATGTCCAAATTGAGTGGAGGAAACATCATAAAAGCCATAAATACCTGGGCTATACCTGTGATTAGATACTCTGCAGGAATAATTGACTGGACCCAGATGGAGTTAGACAATTTGGACAGAAAAACAAGGAAGCTTATGACAATGAATCATGCCTTGCACCCTAAAAGTGATGTTGACCGATTATATTTACCAAGAGCAGAGGGTGGTCGAGGACTCCTACAAGTAAAGCAGACTGTGGAAGAAGAAAAATGCAGCTTGAATGGTTACATCCAGAAAAGTGAAGAACCAATGATTAAGGAAGTAAATAAAGGAGGCCTTTTAAAGACAACTAAAACAAAAGCAGAATATAAGAAAGAAGTAATTGAGCAGCGAGCTGAAAATTGGAAACACAAAGCTCTGCATGGCCAATACTTGAAAAGTATTGAAGGCAAAGCTGACCAGAAACTAACTTGGAACTGGTTAAGATCAGGAGTACTGAAAAAAGAAACAGAAAGCTTTATTTTGGCAGCTCAAGAACAAGCTCTAGCCACAAACTGTATGAAGGCAAAAATTCAACATGTTACCACCAACAGCAAATGCCACCTCTGCAATGAAAAAGAAGAGACAGTCGACCACCTGATCAGTGGGTGCAGCAAAATTTCACAAACTGACTACCTACAACGCCATGACCGTGTTGCTAAAATCATTCACTGGAAATTGTGCCAGAAGTTTGGATTTGAGTACAGCAAAAACCACTGGGAACATCAGGTTGAGAAAGTTTTAGAGAATAAGAAACTCAAGATCTTGTGGGACTTTAGGATTCAGACTGACAGGCACTTGATCCACAACACACCTGACATAACAATAGTTGAAAAGAAAAAAGTATGGTTCATTGACATTGCAATACCTGGTGATGCACGAATTGAAGATAAGCAGCAAGAAAAAAATCACAAAGTACCGGGACTTACAAATTGAAGTTGAGCGACTGTGGAAAAAGGAATCGTGTGTTGTCCCGATTGTAATTGGAGCCCTCGGAGCAATACCCAAAGGGCTACCCCGCTATTTAGAAATTCTAAATTTGCCGGACTTGAACATTTTGACTCTACAAAAAACCACCTTACTCGGAACAGCTTACATCCTCCGACAATACCTTAACAGTTCCTAGGTCCTTGGTTAGGACTCCAAGCTGCTGAGCTATTAACCAGCCTCAAAGGCTGTGAATCTCACTAAAGATTAACCAATAAAAAATAATAATAATAATAATAATAATAATAATAATAATAATAATAATAATCTAATAAAACTCTAGGTAAGGGATTTACAGTAGTATCCTGCATTTTCAATAGAGTGAGATAATCTCTTTAAAATAACTGTCTGACATTACAAGTTCATTTAAAAGATTCATCACTTCTTGTTTTGATTGAGATTCTATCCTCTATAGTCTTGAAAATCTTATATTTTCTTGTTGTTTCTTGATTGAAAACTACTGTAAACTTTTGTAATGGCTATTTTCACTTACATCCAACACTTCATCTGATTTCTTTTAAATTAAAACAATTGTTAAAACAAGAGTGGTTAAAGTTGTCTTGGATTCCCTGGTCTAATTGTTACATGAGAATGAAAAGAATACAAAAAGGAAAGATTGATTATATGTATGCACCATAGAACCATAGAATTTTATTGGCCAAGTGTGATTGGACACACATGGAATTTGTCTTGGTGCATATGCTCTCAGTGTACATAAAAGAAAAGATACATTCGTCAAGAATTCTAAGGTACAACACTTAATGATAGTCATAGGGTACAAATAAGCAATCAGGAAACAATCAATATTAATATAAATCATAAGGATACAAGCAACGAAGTTACAGTCATACAGTCATAAGTGGAAGGAGATGGGTGGTGGGAACGATGAGAAGATTAATAGTAGTATAGATTTAGTAAATAGTTTGACAGTGTTGAGGGAATTATTTGTTTAGCAGAGTGATGACATTGGGGAAGAAACTGTTCTTGTATCTAGTTGTTCCGGTGTGCAGTGCTCTGTAGTACAATGGGATAATTGAAATAGGTTCCAAAGGATTATTATGTCTATAGCTATAGACATATATATATGTCTATAGTTATATAGAGCTTAACTCATGGTGATGGCATACATAGAATTTTCTTGGTAACTATACCAAATTGTACTGAAGGCTTGTTATTGCTGTCTTCTGGATGTTTTTTTCACTTCCCAGACTGACCTAAAACCTTGGTATTACTGAGGGATCTCTAATCCAAGTACAGACAAAGTCATCAAGCTGCTGAGAGATATATTTATGAATATATATTTAGATCAATAAGTGATGCTTGCAGAGTTTGTCATTATATACGTAATTGAGATGCTGGTACTTAAATAGATAGTTGTTATTAGTAAATTGATTGATTGGATTGTCTATGGAGATTCTGAGTCATCCAGCTCATAGTTGTCCCAAAGGTGCTTTTTTTCAAAAGGCAACTGGACTTTGTTTTTCCTTGAAGATGTTTCACTTCTCATTCAAGAAGCTTTTTCAGTTCTGGATCCATACTGAAGAAGCTTCTTGGATAAGAAGCAAAACGTCTTCAAGGAAAAACAAAGTCCAGTTACCTTTTGAAAAAAGCACCTTTGGGATTGATTAGATTCATAAGGCTGTCTTGCTAAGCAAAGGTGTGATGTATTAGGATCTGAAACATGTACGCAAAGTGCACATATTAATAATGGACTTCCGCAAAGGATGTGGAAGCTATTTTTCCTACCTCCCTTAATGCTTTCTTAATGTGAAACACATTTGTTTGTGGATTCATGTGGCTTTTGTATTAGTCCAGAAAAATGGATTCTTTAAAAAGACAATGACAGGTGCAGCATACCAGACTTTTTTTTAAAAAAAAAAAAAACTTTCTTGACTTTGGAACAAATATGGAACACTTTTAACTATCAGTAAGATTTCTTCTATCTGTTTAAGTAACAGCAGTTCTGACTAATGCGGAATGATCTAAATCAATGAATACTGCTACTTTTAACAAATGGTCCTCAATCACTGTGATAATCTATCCTTTTGATTTCCTCTAACTACACACATACATACCTGTCATGTTGTTTCCTTTCAGGGCATGCAACATTATGCAGAACACAGAAAAGAAATGAGAAATAGTAAATCAAAGAGCATGAGATAAGAAAAAGAAAAAGGAGTATAAATAAATCTGATTTACAACAACACAATTCACTTTACCTCTTTGTATCTTTCTAGCTTTATAAATCACCCTTGCTTCTATCACATCCATATGCTGTGATATACATTGTCTTTTGTTCTTTAAACTTACCTATTTTTCAGGATCTTATCAACTCTATCCAATCACTTATTTCCCCTTCATCTGGACCTATTTATTCTTCTTATATTTAATCGTTTTGCAGTTGATCCTCATTCATTCTCTTTATGTAATCAAACCACTGCAATGTACTTCTAACATGCAGGTTACTCACTTCTATTTCAATCCACATTTATTCAGCAACTGTTCATGCTTGACCCTTCCCTTATTTTACCATATATACTTCTTTTATGTTTTCATGGCATATACACCTTCCACTTCCATATATTAAAGTGCTCATCAGCTCTCCATTATATAAACTCCCATCTTGCAACATACAACATGGGATATATTGTACAATATATTGAATATAATATATTCAGTATATGCATTCTTTCCATTATTTTTATTGGTATTTGCATATCTTAAAATTTCTCAGTTTTCCTTCTTGGTGAACAGTTTATCAGCAAACTTTTATTCATCTAGTTGCTCTAGTTTTTGTCATGTGCCATATAGCATTATTTGCTTTATGATATCACTTGCACATTCAAGTTTCCACTTACAGATGCTCATCATTGTATCATATCTTTCCCATTGTTTTGCAACATTCAATTATAGACATTTTTTCTCATCTACAACCTTTTAGACCAAGATTCCACCAATTAACCTTTTTTTGTTATTCCCATTAGCTGCAGTTCTGTGGCATTCTGTAACACAATTATTTTCCCCGTCTTCCATGTCTTTTTTCTTTTGGTCCATTTTCTGTTAATTCCATTGGGGGATTAATTTATGTTCTAGTATCTTTTCATTCATCATTTTCCTTTCTTAATTTTTCCCCTCTGTCTCTTTCCTTTTTTCTGTGTACATTTTTTCTCAAAGTTGATCTTTGTCACATCCAAAAAATGTTGTGTCCCACATTCAGAACTTCCCGTGACCCTTCTTTCTAATTTTCATCATAAACAAGTAAACCAACCATGCTCTCAGATATATACTCTTTTCTTTGCCAAATGTACATGTGAATAGATATAAATTTAAACCTTTAAATCATGTTTCAAACACATAACCATCCTTAGTCATATGTTTTTGATATTACCTTTTATTTTGATGAGAGGGACAACTAGTCACATCATCTAGTAGAATTATCTTTTCCCTCAGAAATTTAAGAATTTTTCTAAAACACCTTACTGTTTATGGAATTTAAAATGTTACTGCCACCAGATCATGGATTTCTACTTTCCTATGCAAGCATAGCAAACTAGATTACACCAGTGTATGCTTTCTGACATATTTTAGTGCTTTGTTTCATCAAAGTAGCAAACAGCAATGATATGGGAGTTTCATTTCATTTATCATTTTTGTAATTGACATTGAACTGATGCAGAAACCAAATTACAGCATATGATCAGAGAAATTAGTAAAATAATTCTTCAAATGTGTTATTAACAAACCAATCAGTTTTGAGTATAACAAAAAGCACGTAGCAATTGGTTTTGTGAAGAAACCTATGTTTCTCAGAAGATATAGCTATTGTAGTAACAATGCAAATTTGGTTAAGGGATATAATTAGGAACTTAATGAAGTAATCTATTTCTTAAACATTCTAATATTCTTTTACAGTTTTTGTCAACAAGAAAAATTGCCAATTACATTCCAATCTTGTGTGATCACAAAGGAATGCCAGGTGTCAGAATGGTCTGAATGGAGCCCATGTTCCAAAACATGTTTTGATATGACATCCTCGAAAGGATATCGTACAAGAACACGGACAATAAAGCAATTTCCTATTGGCAGTGAAAGTGAGTGTCCAAACCTAGAAGAAACAGAGCAGTGTGTAACTCAAGGAGATGGAGTGACTGCTTGTATCACGTAAGTGTCAATATATCTCAAGATCTTTAGCATTATACAACCTTGTAAAAGGTAAAGGTAATGGTTCCCCTTGCACATATGTGCTAGTTGTTCCCGACTCTTAAATTGCGGTACTCATCTCTGTTTCAAAGCCGAAGAGCCAGCACTGTCCAAAGACGTCTCCATGGTCATGTGGCCCGGATGACTAAATGCCAAAGGCACACGGATTGCTGTTACCTTCCCACCAAAACTGGTTCCTATTTTTCTGCTTGCATTTTTTACATGCTTTCAAACTACTAGGTTGGCAGAAGCTGGGACAAGTAACAGGAGCTTGGCCCATTACACGGCACTAGGGATTCGAACCACTGAACTGCCAACCTTTCAATCGACAAGCTCAGCATCTTAGCCACTGAGCCACCGCATCCCTTATATGCAACCTTGAGGCTCATGTTATTCTGGCATTGTGAGTGCTTAAGTAAGTTAAGTGACAATTCTAAATCCATATTTCAGTTGAATAAATAATGGGAGGAGTCTATGATCTATGTGTTATTAACACAGATATGTATGTAGAGTATGTTCTGCATGAACTTCTCCTTTAGTGTTGAGGGTTTTGTGATGCAGGAAAGAATGGTGCTGCTATAGCTTCCATAGTACCAGAATAATTTGCACCAGGTTTTGATTCAAGTACCTCTTGCAGGATGATAATCTCTAGTTTCCTTCTCTGATGTCTAATACAGAATATTTTCCACATATTTATAATATAGAATTTGCTTAGGGATAAAATTGTTATTTTTGTTCCTTTAGAGAAAATAAATATGTGCATTCATTTTCCTTGTGTGGCCTAAGGAAGTGTTCCCTTGATATTTCCTTAAAGTATTCTTTGAGTAGAGTATTTTGTGGCATTTCTTTCTCTTCACAAGGATGATTGAGATTTAACTTACTGGAAATGTTGTGCACTGGCTGATCGGAAGCTCACACATTCTTGTCATTCATCAGCACTGCTGAGCTCAGTAGGAGCCTTCTGCAGAATTGGTTAGCGTCCTGACAAAGAAAAAATTGTAAATAGGTTACCCACAGGGAATCATACATTTCAACAAACAGAAATAGAGGATGGTTCCATATGTCTTTCAAAAAATATGGAAGACATGCACAAATTGTAAAAAAAACCAAAACAAAAACCTAGCACAAAGGTCACTTATCAAAAAGGAAATTGAGGTTTAAAAATATTTTTCATTCAACCCTTAACATTTTCAGAGCATAGGTATCTTGGATATTATTTTATATTTGGTACCATTCTTTAATTTCAGATTATGATTTCAGCTTGAACAGATCTAGAATGTTTTTCCTTCCAAGCAGAAATTTGCAGTAGTAGTTGTAGATAATAATAATAATATTTTATTTTGTGAACAATTATCTAATTTGGCCTAAAACACATAGTTTTAATATTTTCTTAGGCTTTTTCCAGACCAAATAGTGTAATCTTATGGAAGGTCATTCATAATTATATCCTACTGTAATAAGTGAGCATCAGAAAATTTAGCAGAAAATTATAATGCTATTTGCACATAATTTCTATTTTAAATCACTAGGATTTTTCTTGATTCAGTTACTTAAGTCATTTCAATAGAATCTGTATTCAGTTTAAATAATTCTCTTTTATTAATTTTATGTTCATTAATTATACTTTAACAACTTATAAATACAAATGATACTGAACAAGAATTGCTTGTCATGTCGCCAGTTTATAGAAATCCCAAATTAAATCCCTAAAAAATAAAGGTCTGAACTGAAGCTGCCATATTAATGTTTTTTTGCATAATTACTGTATATGGACTGAAAGTATCTGAGGCCAAAATAATATCAGAAGTCTACGGCTTCCAAATATGTTCAAGTCATCTCAATAGGATCTGAGTGTCATTAATTCTCATTAATCTGAGTGTCATTAATCAGTGTCATTAATTTTACATAATATTACAACCTGTTGTAACTAATTGAAAATTCAATTCTAGTAATTAAAACAAAAATAATTTATGTTGCTTACGACATTGGAAATGTTTCTAAATGAGAGTATTATTATACAATTTCCCTTTCATTGGTAACTTTCTATATTTTCTTCCCTCTTCTTCCCTCTTTTTTTCTTAAAAGTAAGAAATAACTTTTGTGAAGTCAGAAGAGAGAGCCACTTGATTAGTAACATTGGGAGCCATCTTTCTTGGAAAAATTTGTCATGCCTATTTCATTGTGCATTTATCTCCTTTTTCATTATTGTTGTTCTTTAGATATGGCTGGAGAACCACAGAATGGACAGAATGTCGCATTGACCCTTTACTTAGCCAACAGGATAAGCGACGAGGGAATCAAACATCCCTTTGTGGAGGTGGGATTCAGACTCGAGAGATGTATTGTGTGCAAGCGAATGAAAATCTCCTCTCTTATTTAAATACACTCAAGGAAAAAAAAGGTATGAACAAAAAACAAACAAAAAACAAAAAATGATATTATCATGGAAGCTAAATCTTCTAAGGTAGATTTTTATTATTCTTTTAAAACTATATTTCATTTTTGAAATAAATTTTTGAACTTTGACATTCATGAAAACGTGTAGCATCATAGTTAATAATGTTAACTATGAATCAGAAAATTTATGGTTCACATATTTAATTTGCCTGCCACTAGGAGTGTTTATAAAGCATGATCAAAAAAGTTAACATGATGTCCATACCAGGATGATCAAAACTCTGCCTCTTTGTTTAATGTGTCACACATAAAATACAGCTAAAACTTTGATTGCAGCCTTGTGGCCTACCATCTTGACTTTTTTAACCACACCCTGCAGATCCCTGACTACCATGAATTCAAGAAATAGGCTGGAGGAAAGTCATACTCTCTAACTGCAACTTCTCTTTCCTTCTCATGTGCAGTGGTAGATTTTGCTTGGTTGCCCAAACTGAAATTTTCATTTCTATCAGCTTTTGCATGTATTAGAACTATTCTTTAATCCTACCCAGTCATTCACCTGGATGTGTAACGGTTTGGGATTAAATACACAGATATGCACACAAATTGCAGAAACACATTGTAACTGAGTAAATGAGCCCATTTAATTTTGTGAGGAATTATACAAGAATGTATTACAGGAAATTGTATTTGTAAAAAAAAGTCAGCCTCCCCAAGTTTGATACATTCAAATGTCATAGAAAAATAACAAGAGAAATCCTAAAATTCATGGAGGATACAATCTTAATACATTGGAAGAAGTCTAGGAATGTGAAGTGTGGTCTAAGTATATAATATGACACTAATCATATAGTATCATATTATGCTTTGTTTTTCCTATAACATTGTAAAATAATTTCTAAATTGCAAATTTTAATCAATACAGGTGGTTTGCATTTTAGAATAATCTAAGACACTCAGATTACATTAGATGCATTAGATTGCATACACTTTTTAAAAATAATAATAATAATCTACATACTGTATTTCAGGAACAGAGCTATTTTTGATTTATTTTATTTTTATCTGAATCTTGCTTAGAAGCCCACAATCCAATCTATCTACATATAATTCAATATATAATGTACTTGGAAGAATACCTGGAAGACTAGATAGCTAACTTTCACTGTAATACAGTGATTTAAATGAAAATACTATACATTTTGCTTACAATTTCTACAAAAGGTAATGGGATGATATAGAATATTTTCAAACACAACTATAACAACAACCAATCAAACCCTTCACTGGGAGAAATGCGTTTGTAGGAATTAGTTTGTTTTTAACCTGGAAGACTGAATTTCCATAGTTTTAGACCTTTGTTTGCATCCGTTACAATAGGATATGTCTTCATTGGGCTGTAATAGGGAAAACAAAGCCTGTTTGGCCTTTAAATTCTGGAACCAGAAGTTCCTTTTAAATATAAGAAATCACTGACTGTTTATAGAAAGGAACCTTTTATTTCCTCAGAGATTTAACTAATAAAAAGACAAACATTGAATTTATAAGTCTGCAGGGAGCAGGATTTTCTCATGAGAGCTAATTATAATGGAATTCCTCAATAACAACAACAATAACAACAACAACAACAATAATAATAATTTTATATACCACCCTTCTCCCAAAGGACTCGGGGTGGTGTACAGCCAAGATTAAAAACATAAATATACAATATCATAGTTAAAATTAATTAAAATCATTAAATAGTTTTGGCCAAATTCTAAAACCCAATATTAAAACCCAATTTAAAATCATTCAGACAGCCCCGCCTGTCGGAACAGTAGAGTCTTGAGGGCACAGCGAAAGATCCGGAGGTCAGAGATGTTACGAATATCCGGGGGCAATTCATTCCAAAGGGCAGGAGCTCCGACAGAGAAGGCTCTCCTCCTAGGTATCGCCAGCCGACATAACTTGGCCGATGGTACCCTGAGGAGTCCCTCTCTGTGGGAGCGGACTGGTCGGTGGGAGGCTATTGGTGGCAGAAGGCAGTCCCGTAAATATCCTGGTCCTATGCCATGGAGCTCTTTAAAGGTGGTGACCAACACCTTGAATTGCACCCGGAAGACCACTGGGAGCCAGTGCAGCTCGCGCAGGAGAGGTGTTACATGGGCGTAACGAGGTGCGCCCATAACCACCCGCGCGGCTGCATTCTGGATCAGTTGGAGCCTCTGAGTGCTCTTCAAGGGGAGCCCCATGTAGAAAGCATTACAGTAGTCCAGACGGGAGGTGACGAGGACATGAGTGACCATGCGCAAGGTGTCCCGGTCCAGAAAGGAACGCAACTGGCGGATCAGGCGAACCTGATAAAAAGCCCCCCTGGCTACGGCCATCATATGGTCTTCTAAAGACAGCCGTGAGTCCAGGAGGACACCCAGATTGCGAGCCCTCTCTGTGGGGGGCAAAGATTCACCCCCAATAGTCAGCGATTGCACCAGCTGACTATGCTGGGACGCCGGAAGCCACAGCCACTCAGTCTTGGAAGGGTTGAGCTTGAGCCTATTTCTCCCCATCCAGACCCGCACGGCCTTCAGGCAGCAGGACATCACATCAAGGGCATCATTGGGGTGGTTTGGGGTGGAGATGTACAGCTGGGTGTCATCAGCGTACTGATGGACTTTCACCCCAAAACCATGGATGATCTCACCCAGCGGCTTCACATAAATGTTGAACAGAAGGGACGAGAGGACCGACCCTTGCAGCACCCCCCAAGCAAGGCGCTTCGAGGTCAACCTCTGCTCCCCTGCCAACACAAACTGTGAGCGGTCAGAGAGGTAGGAGGAGAACCACCGTAACATGGTGCCTCCAATTCCTAACCCCCTCAACCACTGCAGCATGATACCATGGTCGATGGTATCAAAAGCTGCTGAGAGATCTAATAGGACCAGGACAGAGGAGCAACCCCTGTCCTGAGCCCTCCAGAGATCATCAACCAACACGACCAATGCCGTTTGTGTGCTGTACCCCCGCCTGAAGCCCGACTGGTACGGGTCCAGATAGACAGCTTCCTCCAGGTACCGGGGTAGCTGTCGTGCCACCACACTCTCAACAACCTTTGCCACAAAACAAAGGTTGGAGACCGGACGGTAATTTGCTAATACAGCCGGGTCCAGGGATGGCTTCTTGAGGAGGGGCCTCACCACCGCCTCTTTCAAGGCGGCGGGAAAGGCACCCTCACTCAAAGAAGCATTTATAATCCCCTGGAGCCAGCCTTGTGTAACCTCCCGGGAAGCCGGTACCAACCAGGAGGGACATGGGTCAAATAAACATGTGGCAGCACTAAGCCCACCCAGAATCCTGTCCACGTGCTTGGGAGCCACAGGGTCAAATTCTTCCCAGATAATATTCTCAAGACTCACTCCCGTCTCCCTCCCCAGACTCACCCAGTCGGAGTCTAAGCCTTTCCGAATCTGAGTGACTTTATCATACAGGAATTGCACAAAATCCTCAGCTCGACCCTGCAAGGGATCTTCCCGCACTTCCACCCAAAGGAGGGAGTGGGTCATCCTAAACAGAGTGGCTGGGCGGTTCTCTGCAGATGCGATAAGAGCGGAAAAATAGTTAGATTTTGCCGCTTTTATCGCCACTAAGTAGGTCTTGATATAAGACCTCACCTGTGTCCAGTCAGATTCGGATTGACTAGTTCTCCAAACACTCCCTAGGCGTCTTTTCCGACGCTTCATCTCTCTCAGCTCGTCAGAGAACCAAGGAGCCAATTAAAATCGGCATCGGGTCAGAGGCCGCAAAGGCACGACGCGGTCCAAAGCCCCTGTGGCCGCACTATCCCAGGCAGCCACCAGGTCTTCAGTTGAGTCGTGTGCCAGAGTCTCAGGAAACGGCCCAAGCTCCATCTGGAACCAGGGGTGGGGAAGCGGCTTGAAAGTCTAAGCGAAGGAGCGAATGATCTGTCCATGACAAGGGTTTAATATCTAGGTCCCCTCTACCAAGATCATTCAGCCACTGACCAGAGATAAAAATCAAGTCCAGAGTGTGTCCCCCTGTGTGAGTGGGGCCTTGCACTAACTGGGTCAGGTCCATGGCCGTCATGGAAGCCATGAACTCCCGAGCCACCTCTGACGTCTCAGATGGCAGGTTGAAATCCCCCATAACAATAAATCTGGGGGTATCAACTGCCACCCCGGCAATTACGTCGAGTAGCTCAGGCAGGGTCACCGCCATGTGGCAGGGAGCCAGGTACGTAGTCAGCAAACCCATCTGCACCCCATGACCCCACTTCACAAAAAGGGACTCATGTCCGGCTATCTGAGGAACAGTGGCCTCCCTCGGACAAAGACTTTCTATAATAATTGCCGCTACTCCCCCACCCCTCCCCTGGGCCCTCAGCTGATGAAATGCACGGAAGCCTGGAGGGCACATTTCAATGAGGGGAACCCCCCCCACTCCTGGCCCAACCAGGTCTCCGTAATCCCAGCCAGGTCTACACCCCCCTCCACAATAAGATCACAAATGAGGGGGGCTTTGTTAATTACCGACCTGGCATTACATAACATCAGTCGAGGACCCAGGGCCTGAGATTCTGTGCAATCCAGGACACGAGCCACACTATGGGGGCCGGAGTGCACAATCGCTTGAAGACAGCGCGTGCGCACCCCCAGAACCTGATATGGCCTCCTGCGCCCGCCATACCTGCCCCTTCCACTTATCACTTTGATGGTACTGCCCTTCCTTTCCCCCCCCAGCACCCCAGTCTATGTTTTATTAGAAGGGAGAAAGTGCCTAAATAAGGTCTGCCACAAAACAATAAGTGTATCCTACTGTTCCACTGAGAATGCCATACCTCTAGTATAAACTATGAGTCAAATATAGCATATTTGTATCTAGGGCTATCCCCTCCTTCTCTGGTATTCATTGAGTCTTTGTCCACATTTTTGCAGAAAGTCAGTCCCAGAGAACATCAAAAACTAGTGCTGCTCCACTTCTATCCATCACTTTTGAAATAACAGGTATGTTATTCACCCTGAGGTTCCAATCAAATATCTTGTAGTGCTCATTTATCTGTAGCTGAATAGACTTTGGGGCTATAATTACTATAGTCTATACTAAGGTCTAGCAAAGATTTTCTCTGCATCTGGGTTAGGGTTAGGGTTTCTCTGCATCTGGAATACTTGGGCTTTCAGTTTAAAGAGTTCAGATTATTAATACAAATATTTAAAGTGCATGCAATTACACTTTGGCATTGATGATCCAATATACACAGATTAGGAATTTTAGTATTAAAAATTAAATAGACTACTAGAAGGCTATTATAAAAAGCATAAGAATGGAAAATTGCTGCTAGACATATAATTCTTCAGTGGTTTTTATTATTTTAGGTGTTAAAAATTTTAAGCATTTATTTAAAATAATTGAAATAGTTTAACATACCTAGAGTGAAATAAGAACAGAAAACGTGAAATAAAAAATGGTAAAAACTGGAATATTATCAGTTGAAAAAAGGTAAATATAATTACCATATTTTTCAGAGTATAAGATACACTCCCCCCCCAAAAGAGGGTGAAAATTTAGGTGCGTCCTATACACTGAATGCAGCTCCGCCCATCCGCTGGTTCCCACCCTTTCGCCTCTGCCTCCCAGCAATTTACCTCCTTGCAGCAAACAGCAAACAGCCCGTTTCAGCTTCAGCACAATCTGATTAGCACAAGCAGTTGGTTGTCGGTTGGATCAGCCTCCCGACCCTCAGCTGTTTCAGGCTGCAGGGATTGCCATTGCCTATTGCTGTGTGGGCCTCCGCTATTTGCTGAAAGGAGGCAAATTGCTGGGAGGCAGATTTTTTTTCTTGTGCTAATCAGGTTGTACTGAAAATGAAAATGAAACTAAAGCAGGCTGTTTGCTGTTTGCTGCAAAAAGGAAAATTGCTGGGAAGCAAAGACAGATTTTTTTTCTTGTTTTCCTCTCCAAAAAAGGTAGTGTGCCTTATAGTCCAGAGTGTCTTATACTCCAACAAATACGGTATTTGGCTTCTTCTAGGTTTATGTGAACAATGACATAAAGAAAAAGTTTAAAAAGTTACCTCAAGTATATTAGTGCTGGAACATGACATATACAAAAGAGGAGGTCATTTCAAAGGACAATTAGAAGACTTGTGTTCATGTGGCTACCAAGCAGCAATCTAGAAGCTAAAGGGTAGAAAGCAGGATTGATAAATTTGACTAGTCTCTTTTAGGCAACCAGTTCCTAAATTGTTTAGGAATCAGTCAATCAATCAGTCATCTGGCTTGGTGACAAAATAAAGAAATACTTTTAACAGAAGTAATGTACAAGGTGAAATAATCCAAATAATATTCTGGAGGTGGCATTCTTCACAGGTTGCAATTTCTAGATCCATGAATCTCATTGTCTCCTTAGAATAATAATAATAATAATAATAATAATAATAATAATAATAATAATAATTTTATTTCTATACCGCCCTTCTCCCGAAGGACTCAGGGAGGTGTACAGCCTATTTAAAAACACAACAAAACAACGATTAAAATTTAAAATCATTAAATAGATTAGGCTCCAATTAAAATCCCAGAAATTTAAAATACCCCAATTTAAAATTATTATGTTGATAGCCCGGCCTGGCGGAACAACAGGGTCTTCAGTGCGCAGCGAAACACCTGCAGGTCGGAGATCTTATGTATTTCCGGGGGCAGTTCATTCCACAGGGCTGGGGCTCCCACAGAGAAGGCCCTCCCCCTAGGTGTCACCAGCCAACATAACTTGGCCGATGGCACCCTGAGGAGACCCTCCCTGTGGGAGCGGACTGGTCGGTGGGAGGCTATTGGTGGCAGAAGTTGGTCTCGAAGGTACCCGGGTCCTATGCCATGGAGTGCTTTAAAGGTGGTAACCAACACCTTGAATTGCACCCGGAAGACCACTGGGAGCCAGTGCAGCTCGCGCAGGAGGGGTGTCACGTGGGCACAACGAGTTGCATCCATAATCACCCGCGCGGCCGCATTCTGGACCAGTTGGAGCCTCCGAGTGCTCTTCAAGGGGAGCCCCATGTAGAGAGCATTACAATAGTCCAACCGGGAGGTAACAAGGGCGTGAGTGACCATGCACAGGGCATCCCGGTCCAGAAAGGGCTGCAACTGGCGAATCAGGCGAACCTGATAAAAGACCCCCCCTGGCCACGGCCGTCATATGCTCTTCTAAAGACAGCCGTGCGTCCAGGAGGACACCCAGATTGCGAGCCCTCTCTGTGGGGGGCGAAGATTCACCCCCAATAGTCAGTGATGGCATCTGCTGACTATATCGGGGCGCCGGAAGCCACAGCCACTCGGTCTTGGAGGGGTTGAGTCTGAGTCTGTTCCTGCTCCACGGCCTCCAGGCAGCGGGACATCACATCAAGGGCATCGTTGGGGTGGTCTGGGGTGGAGATGTATAGCTGAGTATCATCAGCATACAGATGACACTTCACCCCAAAACCACGGATGATCTCACCCAGCGGCTTCACATAAATGTTGAACAGGAGGGGCGAGAGGACCGACCCTTGTGGCACTCCCCATGCGAGATGCCTCGAGGTCGACCTCTGTCCCCCTGCCAACACAAACTGCAAGCGGTCGGAGAGGAAGGAGGAGAACCACCACAGAACGGTGCTCCCTATTCCTAACCCCCTCAACCGCTGCAGCATGATACCATGGTCGATGGTATCAAAAGCCGCTGAGAGGTCTAATAGGACTAGGACAGAGGAGCAACCCCTGTCCCGAGCCCTCCAGAGATCATCCACCAACGCGACCAATGCCGTTTCTGTGCTGTACCCCTGCCTGAAGCCCGACTGGTACGGGTCTAGATAGATAGCTTCATCCAGGTGCCGGGGAAGCTGTCGTGCCACTACGCTCTGAACAACCTTCGCCACAAAACGAAGGTTGGAGACTGGACGATAGTTGGCTAATTCATCCGGGTCCAGGGAAGGCTTCTTGAGGAGGGGCCTCACTACTGCCTCTTTCAAGGCGGCAGGAAAGGCACCCTCACTCAGAGAAGCACTTATAATCCCCTGGAGCCAGCCTCATGTAACCTCCCGGGAGGCCAGCACCAACCAGGAGGGACACGGGTCCAATAAACACGTGGTGGCACTAATCTTACCCAGAACCCTGTCCACATCCTCGGGAGTCACAGGATCAAACTCCTCCCAGATAACGTTCTCAAGACCTGCCCTCGTCTCCTCCCGTGGAATTAGAAGGCCCACTGCCACAATTCACATTATTAAAAAATGGCATCACACCATTTTGTCTAGACATTTTGTTCTAGACATTTCTGAACTTTCCATAATACTGTGTAAATATAGCCTAGTATAATTCATTGTCTGTGTTTCAGCTGGATAAGATTAAAGATGGAGGTTATCACTTTCTTGACTTTTTTTTTCCAGCAAAGCTGTGTATATTTAGAAACAAAACCCTTCATGTTTTGTCTTCTCTTTTACAGCTTCTAAACCTGTGGATTGGAAACTGTGCACAGGCCCTACTCCCAGCACTACCCAACTGTGCCACATCCCATGTCCTATAGAGTGTGAGGTATCAGCTTGGTCAGCATGGGGATTGTGTACCTTTGAAAACTGTGAGGACCAGCAAGCCAAAAAGGGTATGTAGATTTTCTGAGTGTTATTTTTGCTGCGTACTTAGTTGAGGCAGCTTAATGGATCCATAATTTCTTATGATTTATTTTCTGGATCTTCTTATAATTCATTGTTTTTATAGTTTCTATTTCCATTGATTTTGATAGACTGCATATCTCCATGATTTGTATTATACTTTACCGAAACAGTATTTTCATATTTGTCTATGAAGATCTACTGCTAATAAAGAAATGCCACATTCCGGAGTTTGCAACTAATCCTGGTGAATTGTAACATTGAAAGGGTACAAATTCCTAGCTCTAAGCATTAATTACTTATGTTCCTCTCTAGAATGAGAGCTCATTCTTTCCGATTTTGGAAGGTGAAATTGAAAAATATCTAAGCTTCCTGTAATGCCTCCCAAGGACAAAAGGACTAAGCCCTAATTGAGAAACATACTGTATAAGCAAGCAAATCAATATAAATATTTCATTAGTTCTTTTGTGACAGTTATTCTATAGGAATAAGAAGGACTAGAGATCTGGACTTTCCCTCACTCTTCCTCTAGAGAGATCAAATTGTTTTAAATTTTAACGTTAGGAAGGCAAATCTGTGAATTTTTACATAGCAGTAGAGAGAGGTATTACAGAATTGTCTTTGAGGGGCTCTCTTAGCTATTTGAAAATCATTCTGCTCTCATTAGTTTTTTTTCTGTTTTTTTGCTTTCATTTGCTGCTGCTTGTAAACTATTATAATCTCTACAAATCCCTTTGTATCCTTCTTCAGTATTTATCATTCTTAATCCTCCTTCTTTCTATTCTCTATCAATGTTATATCTCTACATTTTCAGGTTTTCAAAATATTCTTCTCTTCCAAGTTGGCATTCTCTTCTTTCCCTTTTCCTCTTACCAACCTAAATGTTGGTGGTAATGCTTTTTAGGCTCAATTTATTCTTTTATCCTGCAACATATTTTCCTCTCAGAAAAATTTATATACTACTAAAACTCTAGTTGTTGTGATCTTTAATTGGACTAGACAAAGCATTATAGGGCAACAATTTTTGAACCAAAGTAGCTCAACTGGTCTAATGTACAGAATGTGTCTGAAATCTGAGATACCTGAAGTGCAAAGGAATGAAATTTGAGAAAGTTGTGCTGCTTCAATGCTACTGGCGGCTGCTGCTACTATTGCACTGCTGAGGTACTGCTGGCATCACATGATCTTTATTTTCAATATTTTGGCTCACATTCCCTCACTTCCTCCACCAATCTCAGTGTTGCATACCTATGCGTAGCTTTTCTAGTCCATGGTACTCTCCTTCACACACACTGACCTGTGCTGCACCTACCCTGACCCACACAGTACTTCATATGCACCAATGCACACCCTTCCTGACCCAAAGGCACCCTGACAAACCCAAAGAACCGTGCTGGTGCAGAGATTAGAATGATCTCTGCAGGTGACTCTGCAGTACTGCAGGCTACTTCTGCTGACCCCTGGCTGCCTGCAATTTGGCAGGCTCATGGTTGATTTAGCCTTCCATCCTTCCGAGGTCAGTAAAATAAAGACCCAGATTGTTGGGAGCAATATGCTGATTCTGTAAATTGCTTGGAGAGGGCTGTAAAACACGGTAAAGCAGTATATAAATCTAAGTGCTGTTGCTACTGTTATTCCACTGAACCACACCCCATGTGCTATCCTTGATCAGAGCAGCACCTCTCAAACATCCATGCAACTGCCATGCATTCTTCTTGATTTATACCATCCTCCACATGCCATGCTTGACCTGCATGGCACCTCTTAACACATCCCTGTGATTCCACGCATACTTCTTATTCATGTTGTTCAAGTTACCTGAGCACTACTAATTGTATTCATGCTTGTTTTAGAATACATGGAAAATTCCTAAACTTTGATTATGTAATTAGGATCACAATTCAAATTGGATTAAACTCAGGAAGGCAAAAGGAACAGGTCTTCCCTTAACCCTGATGCTCATAGGTTATCAAATGGCATTATCTCTTCTTTTAGCTTTCTCCACAGGGCTGTTGTGAGAATAAAAGTAGTGAAGCTTCCAATAAGGAAAAATTGTGTCTTCTTTGATTGATATATTATTGCGGTTTGGGGGGATAATCAATGACACATTTACCTTCCCAGTTGTATGATAGCATGCAGTTATAAGAAATAGCTTACAATAGCTATTTGTAGGATATGGAGTTGCAAAATGGATACAATTAATGTTTTTGTCTTACCGGTATATATAAAACCAAAATAATTGTTTCTTATTTTGAAAACTTAAGGTTTTAAATTAAGAAAGCGTCGCATCAAAAATGAACCCACAGGAGGCACTGGCAACTGTCCCCATTTGATTGAAGCGATCCCGTGTGAAGAGCCTTCTTGCTATGAATGGAAAATAGTGAGCCTGGATGAGTGTATTCCAGATAATGAGAAAGATTGTGGACCTGGTACACAAGTGCCTCAAGTAGTCTGCATAAGCAGTGATGGTAAGTTGTCTAGTTAGCATCCTGCAGTTTGATATTCATTGATTAGGGTTCCCATCTATTGCATGATAACCATATACCATGCCTGCATATAGAATTAAATAATTCTATTTTTATTTGGACCTGATAGTCATCAATTCATCATCTGAATAGAAAAACATTGTGAATGAAATTGCCCCATGTGATTATTATAGAGTTACTATGAGGGTATAGAATTAGCATCAAAGTTCTGAAATGACAATGTGTTGAAGGAAACTTAAAATAAGTACTCAGTTGCGATGTGCACCTCTGGACCATGGATATGTTGTTCTATCTTCTTAGTCTTCAATCAATAACTGTAAATTAGAAATTTGGTGTAATTTAGAAATACATTGATTGTTCATGTTCTAAAATTTAACATTAATAGATTTTCTGTTTTCAAGAAATGAAAACTGGATAGACATTAATTTAAATCAAGAACCAGATATGGATGATCACTATATCTTTGGCAGAAATGAAGCATTTATGCTGATGTCATGATAGTTTGATGGTTGGCAGGGGGCAACTGATTTCTCTGAAATAGTATATGATGTGAGTTTTCCACTCATTTATCATAAATAATGTGCTTTTTATCCGAGGCCAGTTTTTACCAAGGTGTCTGAGTTTATTTCTCATGGTCTATAATGGAAGGGAACTTAGAATCATGTGGAAAGAAAAAGAAATCCCAGATTCAAATTTTTGTTTAATTAAAATCTGTTTTAAAAAAAGAAAAGCAAAAGGGAAATTTTGTGTAAATGTTTCTTTGATTTTATTATTAAAAATTCAATATATTTCAACTGAAACCATATTTCAAGTAAAATTGTGTCTTTCTTCTGAAGTTAGCCACTGATAGTTGTAGTTATAATAGAACCTGAAGCTAAAATACTGTAACAACAATGCCATCCTTCCCACTTTATTATTATAATTATTTTACTTTAATGGCCACTTTGTCTTTAGTACCACAGTTAGGTAATATTTAAAGAGAATAACTTCATGTTATTCTCTTTGTTATTCCTTCATGCCTAAGGCAGGACTATAATTTACAGACACCTCAACTACTACATCAGGGGTAACAGTAACAGCAATCCTAAACAGTCAAAGAGCCATTTGGACCTGTTTCCCACAGAAAATAAAACACAAGGAGCCACCTCGATGTAACTCACTCCCACCCAGTCACATGAATTCCCCCAGCCACACCTACCCAGGTTTTGTGGCTCCCGGTGTTTTCTTTTCTGTGGCAAACAGGTTTGTCTCTTTCTCTCTCCCTCTCTCTCCGTCTCTCTCCCTCCCCCCCTCTCATCTCTCTCTCTCTCTCTCTCACCTCTCTCTTTCTGTCCCTGTCTCTCCTCTCTCTCTCTCTCCCTCCCTCCCTCCCTCTCTTGTGTGTGTGTGTGTGTGTGTGTGTGTGTGTCCGTGTCTGTTCTCTCTTGAACCATTTCCAAAACAGGCGACGGTTGGGTGTTTTTGTTTTTTTTGTTTTTGGCTGATGTTGTTCTTTCTTCTTCTTTGGATGCTTTTACCATATGATTTAAATCAGGAGTCATTTCAGGTTCCCAGATAAATAAAATTCTTTCATCCCCCTGCTGTATCTCCCTGTCAATTGAACCCACCACTGGCTGTCCCCGTTCCTCACCCTCCCCTCCCAGTCACTCCTCATCTGGCCTGAGAAGGTAAGGGCGACTGCGGGGGATGGAGACTTGCTCCATATTCCAGAGCATGAGCAAAGCATCCCTGTACTTGCCTCATCTCATGGGCGCTTCTTCCAGCCCTTGTTGTTGCTGCGTGCACCTCGGTCGCTCAGGGAGACGCACAACTTGCTCCCTGCCCCTAGACACTGGCCTGGCCAAGCTGTGGCTGATGCTCCATGTCATAATGGGCTCCAGGAGGAGGAGGGGATGCCGTCTCCCACATTGTGAAGTGCACTAAATTTAACTCTGCTGCACAAAGCACTGCAAGAGCAGCAGGCGAGCCATGGAGGCAGCGAGAGCAGCAGTATCAGCCACAGCCCGTGTCTCAGGGCAGAGAGGAAGTCACGCATCTCCTTGAGTGACCAAGGTGCACACAGCATCAACAAGGACCGGAAGAAGCGCCCGCGAGACCCAGCAAGTATAGGGGCGCTTTGCTCCTACTCTGGAATGTGGAGCTCTACATCCCTCACCATCGCCCTTACCTTCTCAGGCCAGGCGAGGAGTGACTGGGAGGTGAGGACGAGTGGCAGGGCCAGCCAGTGGTGGATTCAGCCAACAGGGAGCTACAGTAGGGGGACGAAAGAGCTGCATGCGGCTCTGGAGCCACGGGTTGCCGACACCCATACTACACCAAATAGGCTCTTATTCCAACATCATTCAAACAGAATGGAGAGTGCAATTATATATTTTGAGGAAGCTATTTTCAGATTATGGGGGCCCCTACAGAAAAGGTTTGGCAGTTTGCTCAGGCTACCCAGACTTCAGATAAAGGAAGGGACACTTAGCAAGCTCTTATGAGGTATTCTTTTTAGTCTTTATTTATTTTCTGCATTAGCAGTGAAAACTGTAATACAGTCTCTGGTATTCCTTCATACATTGCATTTTGGCTATTTCTTATAACAACTGTGTAGCATACTATTAAAATTATAAGCAAATCCAGACAGCCTTTTTGACCCTACCAGATAATTCTGTTTTTAGTGTCATTGTTTGTAGAAGTTTGGATTCCTTATTATTTCCCCAATACAATATTCTTAAGGAATTTATAGCTGCTGTACCAATTCCCATGGTTACTTTTTTTCTTAAATGCTAGTTCTTCAACAGCAGTTATCTAGTAGCTGTGTATACATATGGTAAATATATGGACAACCATCAAATAGTAGTCAAGAGTTTTTAAAAATGGTTCTAGTGGCATAAATTAAATAATCAACCAGTCAAAAATATCTAATTAAGACCATTCAACTAAAAAAAAAATATTCTGTGTAGAAGAGACATAGAGTCCCTTAACTTCTCCCAAATCAGTTACAGCACAATAAGAAAATAGGAAAATGACAAAAACCATAAATAAAGGAGCCTGGTGGTGCAGTGGACTAAACTGCTGTTAAAGTAGTATTTAGCTGCCAGCTGCCTGCAATTACTGTGAGTTCAATTCTCACCAGGCTCAAGGTTGACTCAGCCTTCCATCCTTCCAAAGTAGGTAAAATGAGGACCCGGTTTGTGGGGGCAATAAGCTGACTTTGTATAAAATAGAACACCGCTTAGGGGGGGCCAAAAGCCCTACTAAGCAGATATATACAAAAGTATGAAGGCTATTGCTTAAAAGCATTGTAAGCTGCCTGAGTCTCTGGAGAAGGGCAGCATATAAATCAAACTAATAAATAAATAAATAAATAAATAAATCAAAATCATGAGTAAATGTATCTGATAGTTAAATACAGAATATCTATGAGGGGAGTGGCAAAAAAAAAAATCATAATTGTCCACAACCACACAATCATCAAACTTTACCCCACTTTTATGTGTGATGCATTATAGATGCCGCATCTAATTACTGAGAGTTCCTTGTGCTGCACAAGCAGCAGCTTGGCGCAAAGGCTGAGGTCATGAGCACTTCTGATAGTAATGTTGTTGGATGGTCCAACTGTCTTTAAAATACAAATGATTGTACAAATCACTGCCGAGCCAGAAGCCTTGTAAATGCTTCAGACAGGTTGAGGCAAAAGGTCACTTGGTACATATTTAACTGTTCCGCCAATATTTTATAATTAAATTGGGAAGAGGGAATTGAAGTTGATTAGTTGTGCACACAGATTTGTAATGTAGTATTGTGCGGTGGCTCCAGATCTGACTGAACAGTTGAACTGGGTCTCATCTAGGGAAATTAAGAATTCAGTTATAAGGTTTATTTTTTATGTAAGTAGCTAAGCACATATTTTTTTCATTCATTCATTCATACATACATACATACATACATACATACATACATACATACATAGATAAAAATATTTTAAAAGAATATAAGCAATAGGTATTATAAATAAAGTACACATTTGACAGACTATAATAATTCCTTACTTGCCTAGGTAATTGTTACTCTAAAATAGTGTTGTCAAACTTGTGGCCTGCTGGCCAGATGTTTCACGTGCTGGCCACTCCCGTGCCCAGTTTAGCGAAGAGGGGGAAAAGTCATGATACCTCACATGACAATGCCGTGATGACACAAGTTTGACACTCCTGCTCTAAAAGATGATGCAGAAATCCAAATAGTTCCATACTTGCCTAGGTAATTTTTACTCTAAAACAGGAATGTCAAACTCATGGCCCTCAGGCCAGATGTATCACACGCTGGCCACGTCCATGCCCGGTTTAGTGAAGAGGGGGAAAAGTCATGATACATCATGTGACAACGCTATGATGACACAAGTTTGACACCCCTGCTCTAAAAGATGATGCAGAAATCCAAAGCATATCTATAATCTTTCTTCATACAAGTGGACAGTTATCAAAATCAATTTTAAGCATGAAAAATGAGTGGTTGAAAGAAGAAAATTTAAAGTGACTATCAAAGACACTCAATGTGTTAGGAACTTCCAAATACAAAATTGATATCTCTTCTGCTTTAGGAGCAGCAAGGAATAACTGTTTATTAGATTCTTATCTTAGTTAAATGACTGAGATAATTTCTGTCACAATAGGTCATATCCCCCCCTCCCCATAAAGGCTTGATGATATAACAAAGGAGAGGGAGAAACTTAAGTTTTCAAAAATAAACATTGCAAAATAGGGCTTTTGGAGAAGGGGAAGAAACCTTGTAAAATATCTGCCTTGTTGACTGCAAAAAGTTGGGGCTCTTTCCCCATCCCCACCCCCAGTCATAGTGTTATGATTTGGTGCTGTGGGCAGCAAAGGTATGGCATGTAGGTCTATAGATACAGAATGTATTTTGCAGGTAATTCTAATGTCCAACTTTTATAAAATAGAGCTATCCAGCACAAACCTTTAGTACTTTAAATGCCTTGAATGCAACCCTACTGAGCTTTTAAAATGGTAGTTAACATACTATTTTTTTTAATGTAGAGGAAAATAGAAATTATTCAATATTGATTGGAGAAAAATCGTATTAACTGCATTTAAATGCAATTGCAATTGAGTATAAATGAACAGAAAACACATTTTTTTTAAAAAAAATGGTGTCATTCTATTCTCTCTCCCAAACTTACTAGTAAAAAAACCAGGCATGGCCTTCTCCCCAGAAAAACAAAATGTGTGCATTCCTATTATAAAGCATTCCTTGCTTTGACTGTATTGGATTTAGTGGTTGGTGAACATTTCAATGAATCGGTTTCTTTCATTG